ATCAGTTCAGTTTTCTGAAGATGTGGTCAGGAGGCTAAGAGCACCTACCCATTTCCAAAAATTCGTTGAACAGGCTGAAGGCATCAGTGCTGGCCAGGTGGTAGTTACGCAGCCACTCACGATGTTTGCAAATGTCACATGGTTCAATACATCCATTTTCCTCTCGACAAGCCTTCCTGTAGCAGTAACCGCATTTCCTCTCCAGCTTCTTTGCAGCTTTTTCACTCACAAGTCTTTTGCACCAGCTGGAAACCAAACACATGAAGAAGCACATTGATAACACCATTTTCCATGAGGTCCTGCAGCTGATTTCCTTAGAGGAGAGCTGTACTGACAACACTTACGGTACGGTGAACTCAACGATGTTGTTGAGAGTCTGTTTGAGCAGCATGATTACAGCCATCTGGATGAAGAGGTCTGTCAGACAGCCGCTGGGATGGCACTAGAACACACGGCAGTGATGAGTGTCAGCACTAAACAATATACATGATGTTTGATCATCTCCATACCTCTTCCAGTCGAAACCCAGCGAGACGCACGTAGTTTCCTGGATGGCCGTTTATCCTGTGACGAAACAACGTCACAGAAGCGATCAGCTGGTGAACATCTGAACGTGTGTCTGCTGCGGTTATAACGCTCTCAGTATCTTATCAGAGTGATGACAGTATGGTAAGTGTACAGTAACGTGCTCCACACTATAGTGAGTCACTCTGTGAGGAAGATCTCACAATAAAAGATCCGCTGACCATTTTTTAGCTGACCGTTTGCATTAGAGAATTTTATTTTAGCTTCCGAGTTTCCAACATGTTCATTTTTTATATATTTTATATATTTTACATATTTTACAAATGCATTTGAGGAGTCTGAACAATGACAGGTTGGATATTTCTTTACATAACAATGACTAAAACATGAATAATCATTTGAACAGCTGACTAATAAATACAACTTACCCCCTTCTCACTTTTTAGGTACAAATACGACACTTTCTTTCAGGCTCTATCCCAGGGTTCCCAAATAAACCCCCTAATGATGTAATGGATGACATTATGTGTTTTAACCCGGTTAAGAAAAAGGCCGTATCATCAATACTTGTTCTGATTTTGCACCTGGGTTCTTCTTCTATGTCTGCAATTAAGCGATCCTGGGAAGAGGATCTTGGAATCTGTATTACTGAAGCAGACTGGGGCAACGTTTTACGTAATATTCACTCGTCCTCCATGTGTATACTGCCTTCTGCAGTTTAAAACAGTGCACAGGGTTCATCTTAGCAAATCAAAACTGGCAAAGATGTATCCCCAGATTGACCCAACGTGCGAAAGATGTAAATTGGCAGACGTGAGCTTGATCCATGTTTTGGTCCTGTCCCAAAATACAAAAGTTCTGGACGGATGTCTGTGAGGCTTTGTCATGCATGTTTGGTCAAAGAATTGTCTTCTCTACACTATTGGCAAGACGTCTAATACTTTTGAAGTGGAAGGACGCAGCCCCGCCCACAGTTTCACATTGGGTTAAGGATGTATTATTTCATCTTAAATGAGAGAAAATTAGGTTCGTTTTGAGAGGCTCTGTAAATAAATTTAACAAAGTCTGGAAACCCTTCTTGATATTTTTTGACCAACCATCTACACAGGTTCAGGAATGACCTTTATTTATTTATTTATTTATTTATTTATAATTATATTTGTTTGCTTATTTGTTCTTTCTTCTTATTCTGTATACCTCGGCTGGTGTTGTTTTGCACTGATTGTAAGTTTTTCCTTTTAAACTTTTGATTACTTGACAGCGAACAGGGCTGTTGTTTGTTAGGGTGGGTTTTTATTTTTCCCCTCTTTTACTTTTATTTGATGCTTTGTATTTTTGTATTTCATTGTGGAAAATAATAAATATATTAAATACTAAAACATGAATAATAAAAAGTAAAACTCTAACTTGGTTTGCTGTCAAAACCCAAGATCATTGGTCAGCCAATCATTTAAGCTCTACTTTGTCATCTTGCAACCCTTAATGTTTAAAATAAATAAATAAATAAATAAAAATAATAATAATAATAATAATAA